TTGAAGGAGAAGGGACAAGATTGGAAGGAGATTGATCAAAAGCTTGATTCTTTGAAGTTAAAGGAGGTGGTTTCCGAGTCAAGTGATAAGAAAGCTTGGGGGAATGGGAAGCTGAGTTTCATGCGCGAGGAGAGGACTGAGAAGAGTTGGAGGAAGCCTGAGCCGAATGAAGTTCGTCCTTTAAGGTTGTGATGAATTCTTATGTGTTTTAGTAGCTGTTGTTTTATGCTGAATTAATTTCTATGTGATGTTGGTTTTTTGATGAATTACTTCGTAATTGATTATCTATTTTTGAAAGGTAGGGTCTCTGATGAATCATATTACTGGTTGCTCTTTAGTCTTTGCAAAAATGAATCAACTGTCACTAGTTAATTGGTTATAGATATTTGGTAATAGACTTTTTGAAAAATGTTGGGGTATGCTGTTTGGTCTGAAGAAGATTTATTTTTTGGGGTTAACAAGTTATGTTAGGGTTAAATTTTAATTTTTTTGCTGGATTGGGGTGTTCCAAGTATCATGTAGTCGTGTAGTCATAGTCATGGATGATTTATGGAAGAACAACTAAAGCTTTGTGTCCGCTTGCTTGGTACTGAATGAAGCCAGCTGCTTTGTACCCTAAGTTTAGCATTGCCTTTTTAGGGACTTGATTAAAATGCCATAGTGTTGAGCACTGCAATAAAATGCTGCTTCACCTCATATATTTGACTCAATTTTACTTCAAAATGGCCTCAGAACAGGACGTTGCTAAAAGATATGTAACATTTTGTTTTCGAGGTCTTCTGTCCTAAATTAGAGAAATTATGAGGGGTTTAATTTTGGACGAAACGGGGCAAATGAGTTACGGATTTGAATCCAACTAATTTCAGAATGAAACATAATTGATTGAGTGCTGATTCTTGCTGCTGGTCAGTGCATTTACCGGCGAGCGAGTTGGATAAACTCTGGTTCTGGTAGAATAGGATTGTATGTGTTAGGCCTATCGGGTCAACTATACCTCCTTCATGTGTTATGCTGCATTAGCAGTTTGCTAGTGGCGTTTGGTTTGAGGGTCACAAATGATTTTTAGTCAGTTCAACCGGATTGGGAAGTGTGACTTATTATGTAGTCTCTCTTTTTCCTCCGTTATGTTTATGCAGCAGCTTGGAGTTGCACATGTCTGATTTATCTGATTGTGCAGCAGTTTGACGACGTTATCTGCCTTAGTATTTGTTCTACTTTCCTAGTGCACCTGAAAATTTACTTGGTTTACTAGTTTCTTTTTTATTTAGAATTATTTCCACTCTGTACCTTAGTGGCTTGGTTCTTGACCCTCATTTATAAATGTATTGTAGTGCTGAGGAAACTGTAAATGGAGCTGTTGAAGAAACTGCACAGGGAGCTGCTGAGGAATCTGGTGGAGAGCCACAAATATGATGCCAAATGGAGGAGTTATTTATGAGTTGTGTTTGTTTCCTCAGAGTTTGAAATAGTTTTACCCCGATTCATGTGATGCGAAGCATTAAAGCAATTTTGATAGAACTGCTCAATTTTGATAGAACTGCTTAGTCTGTAGTGGGTTGTGTTTTTGCTGTGTACTTCACCAACATTATTGTTTTGCTATTTATGTTTTTTCTTTTCCTGTTCATCATAGTCCAGAATTGTTTGTTCGTAAGCTAGTACACATTCATTTGCGGAACACAAAGGCATAAAGACTGTGTGGAAGATTACATATTCTTATAATTCTTATTATTATGTTTAGATCTTGTTTAGGATGTTAAGATGGGATTATTAAAAGATAACAGATTCTTATAATTGTGGAAAGTTGTTTACAAAAATATGTGTAGGTTTTCAAGTTTTAACTGGAATGAAGCTTTATATTGGCGAGTATAGGCAGCAACTGAAATCTGCTCTCCTCCTTGCTTCGGCTGGTGTTTAAAGTGTTTGACCTGTATCTTATTTACCATGCATCTACTTTGTCTCGGATAGTGTTTGTAAGGTACCTCTAGTCGGCTAGATTTAAAATTTCAAAAGAAATTATCTTATCTCTAGTACGTTATAAGCTTGTAAATGAGTTTTCTTTAACACAACAAGATTAGCACAAAAAAGTAACTTGAATTTGGGTCTTGTCATCGCTTGTTAACAATTCTATACGTGGCTCAAGAGTAAGAATTAAGTCTATACATGATTTTCGATGAGTATAAAAACAAATTGATTTCTGTTTTGAGTGTTGGATGACTTGATAGGGGATTTACTGTTAAGGTTGTGATTTAACTCGCCAAAACTGTAGAGTTCCAATTTGCTCATAAGTTGGGCAATTTGACGGTCTTTTTCTTCCACAATGGTTTGCTTCATCGCAGCAAGCTAGATGTTTAATGTTTGAGTGGATGAATTATAGTGGGTACTACCTATAACATCACAAGTGGATCGAGGCAACACAATCCCTGTACTGGGACGAACACAATACTTTTTGGGGTTTGTCATTTTGACCTGAAGGCTAGGGTTTGGACTTTGGAGGAGTTCCCTGCATCTAGAGGATTTTAGGCTGTAGACAAAAGGGATTCATATACTTTGTGAGAGTTCCCGACGGCCGGTGACATAAGTCGTAGTTGCTGTAGACAGTAGCGGCGGATTCAAGATTTCAAAGTCATCGGTGCTCACCGGTAAAAATATCGAAAGAAGAGAAAAAATGAATTTAGTAATTACCTTAGTAAATTTATTAAGTTTATAATTACCTTAGTAAATGTAGACAATGAGTGCTCACTCAATACTTATCTACATTTTTTTTATAATTACCTTAGTAAATCTATTAAGTTTGGTCAAATTCTGCAAAGAAAAAATCCGTAAGTCTCCTAACTACTATTTATCGTAAAATACTACACGTGCAGTAATTGGTAACGTCATATCTCTCCCATAATTCCAGAGCATGTAAATTTACACTTGGTATGGTCATGAGCTGAGATGATTTACCATTTGGAATATATAGTTTACCCTGAAACTTAGGACTAAATCACTGTGACGTATTTTTTTGAGCATAGGCAACCTTTTACACAACTATTTTTTTTTAAAAGTGTATCTAAGACATTGAATTTTATCTTTTGAATTTTATTCATTTTGTATTTATCTTTTGAATTTTATATTCAAAGATACATTAGTCATTTTCTTATGTGTTGACTGTTCACACTTTAAATACATTACTATGATTACAGTGCATCTTAAACTTTCATGATATTACGACAATACATTTTTTTTTGTTTGACAAATGGTATTATTCATGAATGCTCCACATGACTCGGACGGCTATCTAATATATCCATCGCCATCGAGTTTTTGCCACGTTATAACTTGTAAAAAATTAAAGAATTTCAGAAATAAAAAGGCGGTCTTCTTCAATTTCTATTTTATTTTATTTTATTTAATTTCAGGCAAACGTGGTTGTATGGCTATAATTACTACATTCACATCAGTAATCCCTTTATAACTCAAAAGTGAAGCTGCTTTTTGCTCTGTTTGTCAACGCTCAACTATAAACTGTATTACTCAACAAGAAGTTGTCTGTTCTTATTGGATATTTACTCCTTCTGTTTTTTGTCAATTTGACAGTCATATATAGCTGTAATTTGCGACCACCTTTAGTTTCCCATTTATGCTATTCAATTTCTTAAGAGCAATTCTCTTGTGACATGAGACATGATTCGTGGTTTTTGCTATGTTTAGATATCCACTAGAATGCNATATATATATCTTAAATATATGACATAAAGTTTTTTACTTTAACTTATATTAGTTGAAATATTAAAATATTTCTAATATTAAGTCACATACTTATCTCAAAAGTACCATCAAATGTGAGGTATGTTATTTAGTGATGACCAGAAAATTAAAAAAAAATGCTCTTCTCGTCATTCATGTATTGTATTGTTGATTAATATTATTATTGTTATTATCTTACAAGCCACCTGATTTTTTATTGTGTACATAAAACTTTAACTGATCATATCTGAATGCAGGTATTCTAAAAGCACAAAATCCTCTATAAACTTGGTTTCCAGGTTGCCACGTTCTCTTTGCATCGCAACTACTTCCTCCCTGCCATATGCATGATATGAAACATAACTGCAAATGCATAACATAGAACAATCATTTACTATGACATTTCCATAAGCTTAATTAATGCAACCTAAAACATGTTGTTAGGATCGGGAACCCGGGAAGTGCGGAATATAGCCAAACAACGGTATAATGACAATAACAAAGACAATTGAAGTTGATAACAACGACAATTAAAGTAGATAAAGAAGACACAAATTTAACGTGGTTCGGTCAAAGTGACCTACGTCCACAAGCGGAGAAGAGCAATTTACTATAAGAATAAGAGTACAAAAGAGAGTACAAAATTAGAGTAAACACTCTAACACATGTCACTAGAATTGTACGCAAGAAAGAGAAAGAAAAACACTAGAACATTTAGCACATTAAAACTTAGTAGGTCTCTCGGCCAAAACCTTAAAAATTAATAAGAATCTTTAAAATTGATACTTTAATTGAAGCAATAATGTTCATGGTTCCTAAAACACTTGCATACATTAATTTGAAGGATATTTAAGTGGTCATGACTCATGAACCAAGTTTCTAAAAGAGTATTCCCTCCCGTCCATTTTAGTTGATTTTTTTGATCGTTTTCACACATATTAAGGACTTTACCTTTTATAATTAACTAACAATGAAATTGATCATATTAAACATAATTTTTTTATTGAAAATATAACAAATACTCCTAAGTTTTTACTCAAGGACAACTTTGTAAAAAAAAATTAACAGTACAGCAAATGAGAGGCTAGTGAATGCAATAAATTGCTTTAGTTTGTCTAATAAAAAGCTGGATCATAATGATTTTTTACCCGTACCGATCTAAATACTTTTTCAAGAACCATTTTTTCCAAAACCTCATTAATGGAGACAGTTGAGCGTTGCTGTATAGCCAAGCTTCATAAATTCTTCTACCACCATGTTCAGTGCTTTTTATTCGCATTCAAGATTGAACTCAAAACCAACCACTGGCTTTACTACTTAAGTCTCTTTCTCTTCCCTCATTCTCAGTAACAAAAAGAAAATTATGGATTGGTCCCAAAAGCTTTATTTTACAGCTTTTCTAATTGTTACAGCAGCAGCAGCATCCATTCGTGGAATTCATGGTTATGCAATGGTCTCTGGCACTGTCTTCTGTGACCAATGCAAAGATGGCCAAGTCTCTCTCTTTGATTATCCTCTAAACGGTAACTAAACCTATAAGTAGTAATTCTTTTAGTTTCTTTTTGAATTCACATATGACATTAATTAGAATCAACTTAGTTTTTGGTATTTCTTGTCCAATGCTTTTGTCCTGCTTCTTAATATCCTTGAATCTTGATTATAAGGGCAGTACGGATCCTCGAAAGGATCGGACCACATCAGGTTTATTATATGCAGCTTTACCTTACATTCACGGCTTGAATATATTTGTGGCCTCTTGGTTATACAGTGACAACTATTTCCATTGTGTCAAAGCTTCCTTTCAGTCTTGAATCTTGATTTTACTCGAAAAGAGATCCTCTAAATGCTTCTTATTACCATTGTTAGTTAAGGTTTTGAGTGCCAAATTTATGTGCAGGAATAAATGTAGCAATGGCATGCCCAGATAACAATGGGCAAATGACAACATGGGGAGAAGAAACAACAAATTGGCTAGGAAACTTTGCCATGAGATTCGATGGCACTCCAGATTTGAGTGGTTGTGTTGCACAGGTTAATATAGACAACTTTTTTTTGTTTTTCATAATCTTGAAATGAGATGAGCTTAAATGAAGTGACATTATCGGTGAAGATTCATATGGTCGACATTGTTGTTGCACAGGTTACTGGCAGTAGTGAGCAAGGGACAAGAGGATGTGGGACAGGAGGAGGTCAAGGGAAATCACCAAGATTAATGTTTAGGATGTTTGATATGGAAATGTATACAGTGGATCCTTTGATTTCTCAGCCAGCAGATCCTATGTCTTTCTGTCCAAAATCTTCTTCATATCCACAACCACAACCACATCCCAACCCTGTTTCCCCTTCTATACCTCCATTGCCACCACTGCCACCTACTCCCTCTTTGCCTCACTTACCCCCAATGCCTCCTTTCCCTTATTTGGAAGCCTCAGCTTGCCCACACCAGTAAGTTTCTATAAATACATTCATGGTATTAAACTTCTCTATACGGTTAAACTTCTCTATAACAACCTCATTTGTTCCGAATATTTTTGGCTGTTATAACAAAATATTGTTATAGAGAATATATATTATAACATAGCATAAAAAACTGGCTTTTATAATGAATGATTATTATATATCGATACTGTTATACAAATGTCTGACTGTATATGTCAATCTCTTATTGAGGTCGTGTTCGGTTAGACGGAAAATATTTTTTGGGAATTTTTTTTAATGAAAATAAGTCATTTATTCCTTGTGGTGTTTGGTTGCCAGAATTTTTTTTTTTAAAAAAAAGGTTCCGCGGAAAGGGAGAAATTAGACGGGAGTCATTTTCCTTTACAATTATTTCAATCTTTACTTCATATCACTTAATTGCCGGACATTATTTTTATTAATATTTAGTACTAATAAATTCCACAGACGCACCATCTAATTTACTAATATTATTATCAACGTTTAGCCTCCAATCGATCACCAGAAAATAAGTCATTTCCAGAGTAACATTTTTCAAAAAATGATTTCCTTCCTACTGAACATAAGCTCACACCCTAAATTAGTACTGCAGCAATAAGTGTATAACTAATGCACTTCTACTGTCTGCTTTCTTTAAAGGCTGTTCTTTTTGGCTCAACTTAATCAGTTAAAGAGGAATTGTTTTTATTGGTTTGTACATATGGACCCTTATTTTGTACACATCTTTAACTACTAGTTACTAGTATAAGTTTTTTCCAATGTCGGTGGATCCTAGTCAAACATGGCTAGGAACATTGTTTACGTGTTGAGATTAGAGAAAGAAACTTTGTACGTAACAAAATGACAACATTTTGTACTGCAGGAACTGGATAATGCCAGAATACAGATGCTATTGGAAAGTAGTAACCCCAGATTCTAAAGTAGGAGTTGTATTTGGTCTAATTGCTGCTAGAAAATATGGAACTGATATAACATTATGGGAAGGAATGAAAGGCAGAGGAGAACCTTATAAGACTTTGCTAAGAGAAGGGACAACTGCACTTTTGAATTCTTATAACAGTGTGCAGTTTCCTTATCATCCATTGGGTGTAATTCAGCATATGAATTGGGCATTAATGGGATCTACTCAGCATGTTTTGCACACAGCATTGAGTTTTATGAGGGCCAATTCTGGCAATTGGAATGCCACTTGCAAATTCAATCCTTGCAAGTGATTAATTTGGTTTATTATTTCAGCTGGTTTAAATAATTTATGTTCCTAGTATACTTTTCTTAATATATAGTTGAGCTAATCACGTTATACAAAAATAAAAAATAAAAAAAGCAATACTGCACGTTACGTTATTGCTCCATTGCATGGATAAGAATACGACGTTTGGCTTATACTGTTCCTACATTTGCTCTGTACTTCTTTGTATTTTGGAGTATATCATATTTTAATTTATTGATATTACTGCTTATATTCTTGTTCAGACCCACAGTATTAGATAATTGTTATTGTATTGATTATATTCTTCTGGATGTGCTCTACATTTACCAACCTTGTATATATGATACTCATATATTGACTCTGAAATGACAGTTGATTGCTTCAATGCAAATAAAGAAACCCTTAAATTATTTTCCATGCCTAAATTAAACTATATCCAAATTTTCGACTGATTGTTTCAAAATCGTCATGGTATGATTTTCTTTTCTTTTTGTTAGCGGGTATTTAAGAAACAGAATGAAAACATCATATTCATTGCCTGTTTGGTCAAGTTTATTTTTTGATCAAAAATATTTTTTTTAGTCAAAAGTAATTTTTAGCCAAAATTAAGGTGTTTGGCCAAGCTTTTCGAAGAAAAAAAAAAGTATTTTTGAGTAAAAGCAAAAATAATTTTGGAGAAGCAGAAAAAAGTAGTTTCTCTCCAAAAAAATATTAACTGTTACTCAAAAATACTTTTCAAATTAATTAGCAAGCACAAACTACTTCCCACTAAAAGTATTTTTTTGAAAAATTAAAAGCACTTTTCAAAATAAGTAAATTTTAGAAGTTTGACCAAACAGGTCGTGAGATGATCGTCCTAATCAATTTTACATTCTTGCAAAACCTGTAAAGGGACTACATTTTTAGAGGCAAAATAAACTCTACTTTGGGAAACCAAATCTGAAATTTGAAGAAGTCCGACACTGGTAGAGAAAGGAAAAAGTGGGTTTATAAACCATTTTGTTATATTTATTTCTTCATTTTAATATATTACTATTTATCCATGTATCATGTAAATAGTAAACATGAAGATGAAAGAATGATTCAACTGTATATATGTTTTGATTGTCTCTAATTAACTAATTGAAATGAAGATGAAAAAACCGATTAATTAGTAGTATTATTTTTGGATATCTTTGGGACGTATTAGAGTGTAAATATAAACTATGGAAAGAAATACAAAACTTTGAATTGCTTTCCCAATTTACGTATACCACACTTTTTCTTTAATTTAAAAATAATATATTTTTATATTTAAATAATTTAATGTTAAACTTTTTTTTTTTTTTAATAAAATAATTTTCGACTACAAAATTTTAAAAGGTTTAGTTTTTGGTTAAATTTTGTGTTCCATAAAGGTGTCACAAAAATTGACACAAAATGGCTTACATTGCATAGTTTTCGTCAAAATCACATGTGATGATTTAAGTATAAGATAATCATCCCCCAAGTCTATGCAGTAGCTTCGAAGTTATGCACATGTCAACTTTTGCCCAGAAGAAACAAAAAACAGAAATAGAGGGAACTCGTAATATTAATACTCATAAGCTCATAGTTCCACTAATTAATCAGAGAAAGAATGGAAGGCGAATTGGCTTTCAAGATTGAAGAAATCACCATTAAAGAAATCCACCAAGCATTTGCACAAAACAAACTTACAGCAAGAAAGCTGGTTGACTTTTACCTCCACCAAATTGAAACCCTAAATCCGCTGCTTCGCGGCATTATCGAGGTTAACCCGGACGCTCAGAATTTAGCTGATGAGGCTGATAAAAAGAGAAGAAGCAGTAGCACTAATCAAGGTGGAAATTTTTTAGGGAATTTACATGGAATTCCTGTACTTGTTAAGGACACATTTGGGACAAAAGATAAGTTGAATACTACTGCTGGATCTTATGCTCTGTTAGGATCTGAGGTACCACGAGATGCTGGGGTGGTGGAGAAATTGAGAGAAGCAGGCGCTATCATTTTGGGAAAAGCAAGTCTTAGTGAATGGTATAAGTTTCGTTCTCTTAGTGGAGTTCCTAATGGTTGGTGTGCTCGATCTGGACAAGGAGTGGTTCGTTACTTTTTCCCCTTCTTTATATATGGATTTAAGTTATATAGACTTGTTACCTGATCAGTATAGTTTCACCTGTAATAGCGGGTTAGTTATCAATTTTTATGAGGCTGCCTATTAATGTTTATTACAGAAAGTAATTACTTATAAGTGGAGTCTCTGAGCCGAGGCTCTCCCCGAAACAGCCTCTCTACCCTCAATGGTAGGGGTAAGGTCTGAGACCCCACTAGTGGGATTCTACTGGATTGTTGTAATTACTTATAAGTGACGTGATTGTGTAGATACTTTTGATACCTCAGTGCCTAGAACTTAAAACGCTATATATGCTGGTTTTCTCGCTCCATTTGTACATATTTTACATGTGAGCTGATAGATTCATGCTACTTCTATTTCAATCGCTTGATCTTTGTTCCCAGAGTTGCTCAATTAATCAGCTTTTCTTTAGTATGAAAGTTAGATGCCAAATAAATGCTAAACACCTTTCTGCTCTATATTTTACCTTGCCTATTGATGTCTGCGAGCAGGGTTAAGTAAATGCACAATTGTCAAGGTAGTTTAACATGTGATAGCAGGTTAGTACCAATTAATTATTATATAGACATTTACTTTTAATGATCTTATAAGTATCTAACTGTGTAAATATTTGTTTGTATCGTAATATCTTTGGTTATATCACTATATGTGTCACATAGTCCTTGCAGTTAACCAAACAAGAAAGTGAAACATGAAAAATTATTTGAAAAGAGGAGACAGAGAGAGAAGCTAAAGTTCTGAAAGCAGATGGTCATATTCTGTGATAGATTGGTGCAGATTTTCAATATAGTGTGTGGCATTTGGATGATTTGAAAATGCTCCTTGTTTGGATAATCTTTCATGCTTCATAATTTCTTTTTTTGTATTGAATTGAACAGATCTTCTTATGTAGAGCTAGGAAGAGTATTATATATCTTGAAGAATAAGAATATCATGTATTATATAGGAGTATCATCTAAAAGTTTGTCAAAAGATGTTACATCTACCTTTCAAAATATGTAGAATCCTTATTGCCCTGTAGGAAATTAGTATGAAAGCAGACTATCAATATAATTTAACCTGTGATGGTAAGTTAGTTATTACAAATTAATGCTTGTCACAGAGATTTACTTGTAATGGCTTTATAAGTGACCTGACTGTCTGTTAGTGCACATAACTTACACTCTTTGGTCATTTGTGTCACATATTCCTTGCAATTAAACAAACAGGAAAGCAACAATTGTTTTAAAAAAGGGAGACGAGAGAGAAGTTACAGTTCTGAAAGCAGATGACGACTATATTTTGTGATAGATTGCGATTTGCGAGATTACCAGCATATGGTATGGCATATGGATGATGCAATAGAGCTCTTTGTTTGGATAATCATTCATGCTTCAAAATTTCTTTTCTTGTACAGATTTGAATAGATCTTATTTGTAGAGCTAGAAGGAGTATTATATATCATGTACAAGCTTTGAGACCAAATGTCAAATTTTTAACATTACAAACATCTAAAAGTTCCTCTAAAGAATGTATTACATTTACCTTTTCATATAATGTAGAATCCTTATTGCCCGTCTGGATCCCCATGTGGGTCGAGTAGTGGCTGTGCAATATCTGTTGCTGCAAATATGGCGGCAGTCTCTCTAGGGACTGAGACTCACTGCTCCATCATCTGTCCAGCAGATCACAATTCAGTTGTAGGGCTGAAACCTACAGTTGGGCTCACAAGTCGGGCTGGGATCATACCAATGACGCCCCTCTGGGACACTATTGGGTGAGTGTAGTTTTGTTAGGTGTTTTTGAATTAAATCGATTATTACTAAACACAAGTTAAAGAAGAAGAAGTTGTGTTACTGTCTCAGTGATGTTAAGGTGTTTTTTGGACAGTGATGTTAAAGAAGCGTCTTAAATAGAAGAAAGTTCTTTCAAGTGTTTTGTGAGCTAACAGTTCTTTATCAGAGGAAGTGTTTCCAAGTTTCTCGTGAGCCAACAGAAGAGCTCTTGCAGCAAGTTATATAAAAAAATATTTTATTGATCTGATCCTACTTGTAATCTAGTTTGATATAAATGTAGATTTAGCTCAACCTAATTTAATTTGTAGCATTTGTTTCTAAAAGTTGGGTGTTAATCAAGATTTCACTTAATCTTCATGGCAAATTTTTGGTTTAAGATTATTTTTTTAGAAACTCACATGTCGATGTTATAGCAATGTGAATCAGACCTTCATAAAACATAAATATTTCTTTTTGCTATTCAGGCCTATATGCAGGAATGTCACCGATGCAGTTTACATGCTTGATGTAATTGTTGGAGTGGATCCAAGAGACGAAGTCACCAGGGAAGCAGCTAAATATGTTCCTGAGGGTGGCTATAAGCAGTTTCTCAGGGAAGATGGTCTGAAAGGGAAGCGAATAGGCATTGTCAGACATCCATTTGTGGAAATGATACATGGAGAAATTGAAAAATCAGCTTTTGAGCATCACCTGGATTTGTTAAGGTATGAAGCTTTGTAACCTTAAGTCACATTTTATCTTCAAAAATTGCAAATGAAAAATAAGAAGGCACGACTTGCTTACCTGGTTAGAGAACACTTGTAGTTATCTGATGGACCTTATGTTTTGTTATTATTTGGTGGACCTTATGTTGGAATTTAAGACAACAAGGAGCAACTCTGGTAGACAACCTGAGCATACCACATATTGAAGAGATTATGGATCCAAATCACAGCGGTGAAGCATTGGTGATGATGGTTGAATTCAAGACGGCAATCAATGCGTACCTGAAAGAGTTGATCACTTCGCCTGTCAGGTCATTGGCTGACATTATCGCTTTTAATGAGCGCCACTCTGAGCTGGTACGTAAAATTGCTTTGCTGTAAAGATCATTATGCATTAAGTAAAATCAACATGAAGTAATATCAAGAACCAGAAACAGTATCTCATTTCAGCCCTAGACTTGTTTTGATTAAGTAGAACATCCTCTGTCCATGTGAGGAAATACCAAAACGGGGAAATTTTTGAGCATTGTGTCAAAATTAGTGCATAGGGTAGTCTAGCTCATCTACTCGAAGGCTAAGATTGTTTCAAACACAGTCAAGACAGTTTCCTTACTTCCTAAACGGGGTGCAATTCACTCAACAAATGAAATGGCTATATGTGTCATAAAGTTGATGTCTAAGACCCCAACCTTTTGATACTTTTGGGAGCTTTTGGGGGTAAAAGGCAATAGCTTTTCCCTGCCCTGTGACATGGAGGTGGAATAAAAATAGTGTCTTGATTTTTGAGCTGTACATACTTTTATCTTATGTAATATGAAAATATCCAATGGACCTTTTTTACTACAGGAGAAACTTACCGAGTATGACCAACATACCTTTATAGCAGCTGAGAAGACTGACGGATACGGGGAAGAAGAGAAGAAAATTGTGGAGAAATTGCATAAATTTTCACGAAATGGATTTGAGAAAACGATGAAGGACCACGAGCTAGATGCAATGGTCGCACCTGGTTCACGTGCCTCCCCTGTTTTTGCAATAGGATGCTACCCCGCAATAACCGTTCCAGCCGGCTATGAAAGTGATGGCATGCCCTTTGGAATCTGTTTTGGAGGGTTGAAGGGTACTGAACGAAAGCTAATCGAAGTTGCCTATGCTTTTGAACAATCTAGCAAAGTTCGGCGACCTCCTTCCGTAGTTTAATGTGAAGGAAGCAAAGAAGCAACTGTTTCACATTGATATTGTTTGCCCTGAAAAATAGAGAAGATATTGAAACGAAGAAAGCGAAGAGCATCGCTTACTGCTGCATGTGCAGCTAATGGTGCATTGTACCATGTTATTAGGCCATTGGCAATGTTGAACTAAGGGGTCGTTTGGTAGGAGGTATAAGAATAGTGTTGAATGGGGTGTATTAACAATGCTGGTATTAGTAATGTTGGCATTAGTTATGCTGAGATTATATCTTATCCACTGTTTGGTTTGGTGTATTGAAGTATTGTATAATTTTTTAAAAATTAGCTGTTTACAAAAATACCCTTTACATTCTTAAGTTTTGTACACTTTGAGGGATTTGAGGGGCAATTATGTTTTTAATGCAAGTATTAAAACCCCTTGCATTGCTAATATCATGGTTTGCTATGAATTAGTTATACATAAGATAATACCAAATAGGATGTATAACTAATACAAGGGATTAATAATACACAAAGTTAATACTTGCATTGTTTTTTCTAATACCTCTTACAAAACGACCCCTAAAAGGTAAAAGAATGCGTTTGTTTTGCTGCACAATCTCTCCAATGGCCGAATTAAGAGGGAAAAGAATGCTTTAGTGTTACTGCACAATCTCTCAATTGAAGTCAAACGGCTTCTTTCTCCTCACACAATTTACATGTTGAAGATCATGTCCGTTAAACGAGGAAAACTTGTGTACTATAATTTCAAAAGCCACATAAATCATAATAGATGGGAGTACTGAAAAACTCACACCCAATTGGAGGGTTCTCAGAATTTTTTGTAGGGTTTAGTAGCTTGCCATTTTCTGAAATTCCTTGAATTTGTCTAACTTTGACCAGTTAAGCTTAAAAAAAAAATCTTTCTAGTTATGTAGGGATGGTAATGCAAGGATTGTTTATGAAGTAATATAGAGATTGGTATATAGTGAATAATAATTATGTTGGGATTGTGAATTTGTGATATGTGAATTACTTATTTTACCCGTTCTGTATTACGACAAGACTCCATTGCCTATTTTTAGAATACTAGCAGCCTAGCTATATGATGTTGCCGCTTATAAAGCTGTCTTATTATTAGCTTAAGTAGGTTGGATATTAAGAACTGAATATTCCTATTGTTGAATAACTCAAGAAAGAATAAGGCACAGGATCTAAGTCGATCAAAAAGATACCTTAACATTGAAAAATTCCTTAAAATTCAACACTGCCGGCCAACGTACCGTGACAAGAATTAAATAGCTTGGCACTCAATAACTCAGATTTGAAATGGCATATGGACTCAATATCCAGAGAATCTTCTGTGTTTTAATGATCGTTTGCCATTTTCCCCTCGTCCCTTTCGCAATTTTAGCATCTATACTACTCTCTCATGCAGTTGAACAAGAAGAGGTAGCTAACTATCCAATAATTAGTGTCTATAAATATTTATTTTGCAATTAATCCTTGACATCATTCAAGAATTTTTTATTTCCAATTCACTCGTATCAAAATAGAATAATCACTGAATCATCAAAAATTTGGAGAGTGAAGTGCAATTAGATCCATCTTTTAGGGATACGCTGCATCTTGGCTAAAATTAGCACTATGAACGTTTATTCCTTGTTTGCATTACTTACTCTAACGGCCTTATCACTTTTGGGATGGTCGCAAATTGATACCTGCCATGCATTCTCGATCAAAGAAGCTAGCATTAGTGATCTTCAGCTTGCTTTTAACCAAAACCATCTTACGTCGAGGCAGCTGGTCAAGTTCTACCTAGGAGAAATTTCACGTCTTAATCCAGTTCTTAAAGCTGTTATAGAGGTAATGTTAAAAATTAGTATTACCAAGTTCCAACCGCTAAAAAAAATACACAATTATTTATTTAATTACATGTTCAACAGATAAATCCCGATGCACTCTTGGAAGCTGAGAAGGCTGACAATGAGAGGAACGAGGCAATTAGGAAGTCATGTTCTTTATCCATGTTGCATGGTATTCCAATACTTCTTAAGGATAATATAGCAACAAAAGATAAGCTTAACACAACTGCTGGATCTTTTTCATTACTGGGATCAGTAGTGCCGTGTGACGCAGGTGTAGTGACAAAGTTGAGAAAAGCAGGGGCAATTGTACTAGGCAAAGCTAGCCTTAGTGAGTGGGCTCATTCTAGGGCGCTAACGGCACCCAATGGCTGGAGTCCCAGAGGTGGACAAGGAAAGGCAAGTTATGCATGTATTTAGCTACTACTTTAGCACATTTTAATAGCTACTCCAATTTGCAACCTAATTTACTATGCCAAACAAGTTATATGGGTGCAACTCCTATGCAGAATCCTTACGTTCTCTCAGCAGACCCTTGTAGCTCGAGTAGCGGATCAGCAATATCAGTGGCAGCAAACATGGTATCTGTGTCAATAGGGACAGAGACCCGTGGTTCCATTATATGCCCCGCCAGCTCTAATGCAGTTATAGGCATCAAACCAACCGTTGGTCTCACTAGCCGAGCTGGGGTCATCCCAGTCACTCCCAGACAAGACTCCGTTGGGTAGATCACATCTAAGTCCATATCCATTTGATTTGATAATTCTTAATTATACCAATACTAACTTGTTTTATGCTTTGGTTGGGCAGGCCAATTGCCAGAACTATAGCGGATTCTGTTCATGTTCTTGATGTAATTGTAGGCTTTGACCACAATGACGCGACTGCAACTCGTGCAGCAGAAAAATTAATCCCTCCTGGTGGTTATACTCGATTTCTGAAAGTAGATGGTCTTAAGGGTAAGAGATTGGGAATAGTGAGGGAACCCTTCTTCAATTTCACAAATAATCCTGCTTTGGCTCAAGCTTTTGAGAAACATCTCCAAACACTCAGGTAACCTAGTTGTTGCTGAAGATATCATTTTTGTTAAAATGTATGAGTATCTCATTCAAAAGCTTAATGATACACTTGAATTCAGTATCTTTGCCAATTCAGATACCATGTTGAAATGTGACAATTTCATTTAATCTTTTACATGAGATGGTTATACATTTCAACAATTTTTACGAGTTTATAATGTTTTCCTCAAATACAGGCGACAAGGTGCAGTCTTGGTAGATAATGTGAACATAGTGAACCTTGAGACAATTTTAGACTTTAATCTGAGCGGTGAAGCATCGGCAGTATTGGCTGAAATGAAGATAGCCTTAAATGCTTATCTACAGGAGCTAGTTGATTCCCCTGTTCGATCTTTAGCAGATATAATAATCTTCAATCAGAAAAATTCTGAACTGGTACGTTATCCATGATCAAATAATGTACTGATATCACCTTGGCAACTCATTTAACTTGATTTATTTCAGGAAATGCTCAAGGAATTTGGTCAAGATATATTTTTGGCAGCTGAAGCAACAAATGGAATTGGGGAAACAGAATTGAAAGCTTTGAGGAATTTATTAAGATTAACAAAAGATGGATTCCAAAAGTTGATGAAAAAGTATAAGTTGGATGCATTGGTAACTGCTGGTTCTGGTATTGCTGCTGTTGTTGCAATTGGTGGATTTCCAGCAATTAGTGTGCCTGCTGCATATGACAAAGAGGTGCCTATTGGCATTTGTTTTAGTGGGTTGAAAGGGTCTGAGCCTAAATTAATTGAAATTGCCTATGGCTTTGAGCAAGCAACCCTGATTAGAAAATCTCCTACATTTTTACCTTGATTTATTATGACAGCATCTAAATAAAAGTGAAAACTTACCTTTTCTATTTCTTGGAGAACGCAACGGAGACCTATAATATATACTTACATTTTAGTTGTCGTGGTTACTAAAAAATAATTGATTCAAAATACTTGTCATTTTAGAAATCAAGATATAATTAATTACTTTCTTCCCATTTTAGTATTAGTTGTTTTTTTTAAGTAAAAATATTATTGATTACATACTATAAAAAATCATCTCATTAATAGTTTCTTAAGGGTTAAAAAACAGATATATAACAACTAAAATGTAAGGAATATCAGTGTTTACCCGAAAAACGGATAGAGTTGAATTTATACGTAGTTCTAAAGATACATGGTATAACTTGGTACAAATCTAAAAAATACGTAGAAATATATCTAATATTTACTGTAAAAAAGGAATGAAATACGAACCAAATTGAGTAGAGAATGATTTATTAACAAGCAAGATGAATCGATGTCCAAAGCCCCAAAAAGGATAATCTCTACTATACTCCCGTGTAAATATCAATAATCTTTGAAATGTGAGAGTGTATTGATGTCTCAATGTTTAATGTCCTTTACAGAAATGATAGTCACTCTTCATATAGTGGAGGGATCCTACTTTGGATATGATTAAAAATACATAGTGGTGATCCCATGATATATTAGTTAATTAGTTTCTCCTTAATTCCCGCCGAGATTCTCTCCCCTAATGCGGCTACAACGGCTCTTTGTCTCTTAGCTCGATCTTGGTCGGTCTTGGATCTCGAGTTCGATGTTGACTCGAGCTCCATATTGATCGGTCTCTGACTCTTGAGCTCGATAACATCGCTTCACATCATAGCTTGATATTGACTCTAGCTTGATATCGCCTCGAGCTCGGTATTGGTGGGTCTCTGGGTCTCCGGGTCTCGACCTCTATTTGGGCTCGATATCGACCTTGGTTGTTCCCGACCTTGGTTGGTTTCTAAGGTTAGAACTCAGCAGCCCGACTTCACATCATAACTCGATATTATAATAACGAACCTCGGCCCACCATGCCCCAAACTCGATCAGTCACACGAGGGCAAACTCGATTTTGACCGTATACAGATAGTCCCCTTGTTTCTTAGAAAGAATGTGGCGAGAAACGATATGATTTTTCAACCTCTGACTAGATTCATATTGACGTTTGCATTGAGCCCGATTTTGACGTATGTGACAAATGTCCTGTCGGTTCAGTTACCAAGACATTAAATGCGCGTCAGTCGATGGTCGACCACTACTAATTTTGAACCGTCATTGTGTAACCTATAAATAGCCCCCTTCCTTTATCATTTTAAACTTTTACTTTCAACTCTTCTCATTCGAACTTTTACAGTTCTTCGTCTTCCCCAGAATTATCTATTTCCAGGTTCTGAAAATTTCTTTGCTTGTTTTTCACCAAACACCAAAATATTTCAACTTCCCGTCTTCTTTGTTCCTTAAAAATTTAGATGGCCAAGATATCTGAAATCGTTTCTCAGAAAGAGGTTGCTTCCTCATCTCGACTGGCTGGTGAAAAATCGGTGGTGGAGCCACGCATTGAAGAA